ATTTACATTTATTTCCAAAGTTAAATCAACATTGTTAGTAACCTCTTATCTTTTCCCCAGTATCTTACTGGAAGTACTCTTATTTCTAGTTAATACCAATAAGATAGTGAGCTTATTCAATGTACATGCCTCTTTTTTTACCCTTTTTTGGAAATTGTGCCACATGTATATATCTACTGTGTATACTGTACTACTTCTCTAATAATGATCATCTAATCTTAATGTCATACGTAAAATAAACACAATGCAAATCACCAGTACTTAGTCAAAATCAATCATATCTTGGTTATCTGAAGCCTCAGAATCAAAAAGTCCTCACAAAGGTTCCCAGAAACAATTTCCCCAAGTTCTTGAACAGTCATAACAGTTTGTGGTGTTTATATCTGAAAGTCACTTTAGCTGAATATAAAATCCAGAGCTTTCCACTTTCTTCTTGAATATTTATGTTACTCCACTTTCTGGTATAAAGCGCTAGTGATGACACTGTGATTTTCTTTCTCTTATAAACTATTAATTTTAGTAAATTATCTCCATGTTAGCCATTCTGAATTTATTTTCCTAGATATGCAGTATGCCCTTTCAACATATACTCTGGTTTTAAATAGTTTTTGTTTACTTCCTTTACTTGCAATTTTTAGTATTTGCTCTATTGCTTTTAGTTTTTTTCTTTGGGATTCCTACTACTAACTTAAATTATTATTGTTGTTGTTGTTTTTGGTCTATTTTAGATATCTTTAGGTTTTGTTTGAAGATTTTTGTTCTTTTTCAATTTAAAAAACTGAGGCTTTATCTATTGTGTTTGCTTTCATGTTCTCTAGTTTACTGTATATTGCTGGTATGATTTCCTTTTATTTCTAATTCTTTCTTGAGTTCTATCATCTTTTTTCAAATCTTGCTTCATCTCTAACCACCTTATTTCTAAATTTTCTAAATCTGCTTTATATAGTTTTTTTATAACACCAATTATTTTCCAAATTTCTTCTAGTTCATTTTGAGATCTTAGACTACACTCTGACTTGTGGCCATGTCCTTTTGGCTGATTTCCATTGCCTCTAGGGATTTTATTGGCTCCTTACTCTTTTTCTCATAGAAACTTATATGGGAGTTAACTGAAATACTTTCTTTTGCTCATGTTTTAATTGAAATAAAATTTCCTATGCTTTTAGGAAGAAGTGGGAGATCACAATTGCTTATTCAGCTTCGAGGCTCTAGAACTCTCTTCCTGCTGTTTTCCCTGAAGTGACACAATGTAGGTGTCATGCTGTCAGATTCTTTATCTCTGCTCCCTCACCCCCACTTTTAACTGAATCTTTTCTTTCCTTTGCCCATTAACTGTCTTGCTGAAATTGAACTCTATTCCTAATGGTTTCTCCTCAGTGTAGGGTCATGGAAAGGAGTTTCAGTTTACTTTGAAGAGGTTGTATGACTAAGATGGCTCTGCACTACGGGACTCTGACATATTTCCAGGCCTCGTACATTCAGCTACGCCACTGCACCCTGCATTCTCTCTTCTCAGTTTTGGTTGTTATTCTCAGATTGCACTTCACACTTCAGCAAAATACTGTTCTCAGGGCTGTCAGAATCTCAGCCTTCCTTCCAATTCCTTCTGCACAAATGCTGATACCCCAAGGGGTCATGGTATGTCCCACTTGCCCATTATTTGGGGACTCACGGGGGTAACGTGTCACCTACTTTTTGTGGATACTGACTGTGCTACCTTTAGATTTACTATCCAAGTAGTTCTGTTTTCATAGCAGGATTCCAGTAGACTAAAATACTATGTCATGCTATTTACCCAAAATCCTCTATAATTTACTCTTTTCGGTAATTTACATATTTTTAGCTTTCCATGCAATCCTAAAGATAACACATTTTATTTCTATCTGCCTTTGTTCTTCCTCAAAATAAGTTTTATACTAAATAGTATGAATTCTATCTAGATACCTTTCATACTCACCTATCTCCATTAAAACACATTTTAAATTTCTATTTATTTTTAATTTCAGAATAAGAGTAGAAATGTTTTGGTTACATGAATTACTAGTGTACAATTTGAGTCAAAATTGTAAGTGTGCCCCTCATCTGGATAGTGTGCCCTGTACCCATTAGGTGTGAATTTTACTTCTCTCTTTCGGCCCCCTCCCACCTGCTTGTATTCTGTTGCGTTTTCTTACCAAATGTACACATGGTGTTATTAAATCAGCTCCAGTTTAGGGAGTACACATAGTATTTCTTTTTCCACTCTTGCAATATTTCACTTAGAGGAATGGTCTCCAGTTCCATCTAGGTTGTTACAAAAGATACTAGATCACCATTTGCTTTTATGGCTGAGTAGTACTCCATAGTATACATATACCACATTTTATTAATTCATTCACGTATTGATGGGCACTGGATCCACATCTTTGTAATTGGTTATCATGCCGCAATAAAAATTTGAATGTACATGCTTTTTTGATAAAATGGCTTTTTTCCTTTGGGTAACTACCCAATAGTGGAATTGTTAGATCAAATGGTAGGCCTACTTTTAGTTCTTTAAGTTATCTCCACGTGACTTTCCACAGAGGTTGTACTAGTTTGCAGTCTCACCAACAGTGATAAGTGTTCTTTTCTTTCCACATCCATGCCAGAATGTTATTGTTTTGGGATTTTTTGGTAAAAGTCATTCTTACTGGGGTTAGTTACTTCACTGTGGTTTTGATTTGCATCTCCCTGATGATTAGAAATGCTGAGCATTTTTTTCATGTGTTTATTGGCCATTAGTATGTCTTCGTTCAAAAAGCTTCTGGTTCATGTTTTTTGCCCACTTTTTTATGAGATGGAGTTTTTTCTTGCTGATTTGCTTGAGTTCTTTACAGATTCTGATTATATGTTATCAGTCCTTTAGCGGATATACAGCATGTGAACATTTTCTCCCATTCTGTAGGTTGTCTATTCACTCTATTGATTGTTTTCCTGGCTGTGCAGAAGCTTTTTAATTTAATTAGGTCCCATTTGTGAATTTTTGTTGTTGCTGTGATTGATAAATTCTTTGCCTAAGCTGATATCTAGAAGAGTTTTTCCAACGTTTTATTCTAGAACTGTTATAGTTTCACGCCTTTGGTTTAAGTCTTCTGTCCATTGTGAAGTGATTTTTGTGAGTGGTGAGAGGTATGGATCCTACTTCAGTCTTCTGCATGTGGCTATCCAATTTCCTGTATACCAATAGCAGTCAAGCTGAGACTCAAACTAAAGATTCAATCAACAAAGAAAATAAAATAACTAGGAGTATATTTAACAAAGGAGGTAAAAGACTCCAACAGGGAGAACTACAGAGTTACTGAGGAAGGAAATTACAGAGAAATAAATATATGGTAAAATATACCATACTCATGTTATCAGCAGAATCAACACTGTTAACATGTCTACACTACTTAAAGTGATCTACAAATTCAATGCAATCCCTGTTAAAATACCAACACCACTTTCACTGATCTAGAAAAAAATAATTCTGTGCTTCACAGGGAACCAGAAAAGAGCCCAAACAGCAAAAACAACCTTAAGCAAAAAGGACAAATCAGAGCCATCACTTGACCAGATTTCAAACTATACAAGGCTACAGTAACCAAAACAACATGGTACTGACACAGGAATAGAGACACAGATCAATGGATCAGAACAGAATTCAGATATAAAACCATCCTCCTATTGCCAATCTGAATTTTTACAAAGCAGACAATATCATACAATGGGGAAAAGAATATTTATTCAATAAAATTTATTTTTAATTATTAGGGGTACATAATAGTTGTATATCTTTATACAGTACATGTGATGCTTTGAATATAGGCATAGAATGTGAATTAGTAAAATCAGTATAACTGGGGTCTCCACTACCTTAAGCATTTAACATTGCTTTGTGTTAGAAGAACATTCCGCTTCTACTTTTTCAGTTTTTAAATTATACCCTAATTCATTATAGATTATTATAGTCACTTTGTTCATTCTATCTAATCATCTAACTCTATTTTTGTACCCACTAACCATCCCCACTTACCCTTCTACTTCTTCCTTTTTTTTTTTTTTGAGACAGAGTTTCACTTCATAGCCCTTGGTAGAGTGCTGTGACATCACAGCTCACAGCAACCTCAAACTCTTGGGCTCAAGCAATCCCCTTGCCTCAGACTCCGGAATAGCTAGGACTACAGGTGCCTACCACAACACCTGGCTATTTTTAGAGACAAGGTCTCACTCTGGCTCAGGCTGGTCTCCAACCTGTGAGCTCAGGCAATCCATCCACCTCGGCCTCCTAGAGTGCTAGGATAAGGTGACCAGATTTTAACATTGGTAAAGCCAGACACCATTTGGGGGGGGGGGTGCTATTGGCTGAGCTGTTTATGGTTAGGGACCCTCTAGAGAGGGGGGGCTACTTGTTTGTTTCAGACAGTTTGTTTCCTTCTGTGCTAATTGTCCTTGCCTAGAAGCGAGGGAGGGAGCCAGTATCCTTCTGATATCATTCCACCTGGGTGACCTTGCCCAGGAGGGGAGTAGGGAGTTTACATTAGCCTTTTCATTTCCAAATGAAGTTACATTAACCTCTTCATTCCCAAATGAAGTTACATTAACCTTTCAGCAGCCGGAACCGTATATTCCCTTCCCATTCTCCTGCTGTTCCCTAGCTTGTCATGCACTCTTTCCAAAAATTGGGACTTTTTAAAAACACCACAGGACACAGGACAAATTGTTCAAAATCGGGACTGTCCTGCCAAAAGCGGGATGTCTGGTCACCTTATGCTAGGATTACAAGTGTGAACCACTGCGCCTAGCCTTACCCTTGTATTTCTTAATGACACTAAATTTACACACTCCAATTTTATCTTCTCCTCTTCTTAAAACCTGACATTAACTGAATTTTAAGACAATTTCAGAACACTTTAGCAAAATTAAAATTGACAAAAATCCCATTTAAAAATAGTTAAAATGATAGTATTCAACGAGAAAATTAAATTATTAAAAACTACCTTATATCAACAAGAGAGCATTCCAAAGATAATCTTCCCATTGTTCTTAGATTTTCTTCAAGTTCTCTTAAGCAGTTAATATTCACTACTAGTTGAACACCCACGTCATACAGCAAGACCTACGAAAACAGTAACTTTAAGTCTATGCAAAGACAACACTTTAAAATATTTTTCTCCAAACAGAAAAATATAATAAAACTTGTATTAAATAATTCCAGAAACCCCTCCCCTAAATCCAAAATGCATGCACTTTCATGATTATACTTATAACTCTGTAGTTTACCTCTACCAATGTGTCTGTAACCATTCTGATGATCTGGCCTCTTCGCCACTGATTCTTATCTGGGATCTTAACAGCACAGTGCATATCATTTTCCCATTTAACAGGTTTCCATTTTGAGTTTTCATAAAAAGCTATCATCTTTTCTTCTAAACTATATAAAGATAAAAAACATTTAACTTAAAACTTTTCTTATCTAATTCTGACCACATGTTTCCTACTCTCCTGTCTTGCTCATTCCACGCCAGCCACACTGGATACCTTGCTCTTCCTCAAGTGTACCAAGCATATTTCTACCTCAGGTCTTGGCAGGAGCTCTTCCCTCTATCTGCTGTGAGCTTTTCTCAGATACCCACATGACTCCCTCCCTCTTTCTTCAGGCCCATTTCAAATGTCACTATCTCTATGAGGTCTTCCTTATGCACCTTAAAACTGCTCTCCTCCCCAAATGCCTTATTCTCCCTATTGCCCTTTATCACTATCTGCCACACTAAAAGTTTTGTTGTCTCTCCCCTTCTAGAACAGCAAAGGCTGCTTCATATTTTTACCACTTTATCTCCAACACCTAGATATGGCTGTCCTATGGTAGGTGCTCAGCAAGTATTTATGGAATGAGTAAATTCTCATATAGTAAATATAACCAACTAATATACCATTTTTATATTTCTAACTAGAGACTATTTAAAATAATTTTGTTTTTAAAATACTATGTTTGTGACTTCTAGTTCTTTGAAACAAAATATAGAAAGGATAAAATCATAAGCAATATGCTTTCCTTACGTATTATACCTATTAAGTAGGTTTTCTGTTAATAACCACTGAACATAAATCTTCTCAGGAGAGATCACATTACAGATATGCACAGGCAGTTCCTTATTATAAAGTGATTGGAAATTCTCATTAGGTAGAGATTTTGTAGACACAGCATTTAAGTTGTTTACTTCATTTGAGATAATTTCTTCTGGAGAAGGATCCCATACTTCAATATGCTTTTTAGAATCATCTTTGAGGGTGTACCTGAAAAATAAGAAAAGTTAGCAAAAAGACTAATACGAAAAATACTTATCCTTGTATTTGCTCAGGTTGGTATCTTGACTATGATAATGTTGCAATGACTATATGTTTGTCAAAGTTCATTTAACGATGCACTTTCAAAGGGTGTATTTTTACTGTATATAAGTTATACCTCAATAATTCTGACTTTAAGAAGAAAAAAGAAGATTCAGTCCAATGCAGTTGGAAAGTTTACTCTCATTTCTTTCCCCTCCCTTCGAGACCTGCAGTAGAAAAACAACAGTCCCTCCTTCTGCTCCTAGTTCTTCTAAGTGTTAGAGTGGGCAGCAGAAGCATGGCCACATACCACTAACACTGGAAGTCACCACTGCAGGCCTGGGTGTCATTACTTCTCTGCTTCATGCTGACAGGTCTCACAAATGCACATTGTCCAAATGCTGGCCCTCTGAGGGCTCCATGAGGAAGTTCTTCAGAAGATGCCCCTCCTCAGGGGCTATTCTGACTCAACCAGTCCCTAAATTCTTTGTCTTTACTTTAAACCATTCCAATTTGTCCTCGCCAATACTCTATTCTTCTGCTTCTGGGGTCACTTCAACCAAGAGCCTGTCCTAAGTGGGTATTAGCACAACGCCTCAAGGCTGGCAAGTGGTACCCACTTGAACCCAAGAAAATTCACATTTCTATTATAACAATCTACCACTAGGCTTATTCTCTACTCTGCCATTTTCCTATCTTGCCATTTCTCCTCTCAATTCCCTTCTCAAGCAGGCACAAGGGCTGCCTAAGCAGATGTTCTACCTGTAGGTAAGATGCCAATCTCTGTTTCTTAGAAGCACCCCTAATCTCTAAAAGCCTTTTTCTTGGTTTCTGGGTTCCCTAGGGAGGAAAAGCTATTCTACTTCTCCTTAGACTAATGACTCCAATTATTTCCTACTTTTTCTGACCAAGGAACAGAAAAGATTTCTAAGACTACAGCCTAAGCAGATACCAAACTGGGAGGTAATGTGCCAGCTTCCTTTCCTGTGATTAAAATTATATATATATATATATGGCTTGACACCTGTAGCTCCGTGGTTAGCGTGCTGGCCATATACACCAGGGCTGGCAGGTTTCAAACCTGGCCCAGGCCTGCTAAACAACAATGACAACAACAACAACAACAATAAAAAAATAGCTGGGTGTTGTGGCAAGTGCCTATATTCCCAGCTACTTGGGAGGCTAAGGCAAGAGAATCATTTAAGCCCAAGAGTCTGAGGTTGCTGTGGGCTGTGACACCACAGCACTCTACTAAGGGTGACATAGTGAAACTCTGTCTCAAAAAAAAAAATTACATATGAAATAAAAATAAAAGTTTACACTTCTACTCACCCTACTTCATAAGATGCTAGGCCCTCTTTGACAAGCTGGTCATTAATACTAGTAGGAGTCATTCCTGGAGTACCATGAGAATCAAAAAGTTCAACTAGAAGCACATTGTCTTCCAGAATTTCTGTAAAACCATTAAGACTAGTTTGGAGAAAGAAATAATTTTGCTGCAAAGTATAATAAATGAGCAAGTTGTTAAAAATTTGAAACTTTAATTTCTTTCATTTTGCATACAGGAGATTTCTTGCTGAATAATGTCATAGTCTTGCTCTAGAAGTTAAAGTAGCACTTTGTAGATAGACATGAATTGTCAATGTTATCTGCAGCATATAAAAATCAGTGAATATTTTATTGTAGGTTATTGTGGGCTATGTTTGTTCTTTAAAATCAATTTAAAGCTATTTTAGACTAAGTAAAGTATAAATTAACACATATTCATTGAAGAAGTATTCTGTTGTGTTTTTAAACTATTTTATGGAATTCAACCAAGCTCCAGGAGGACGAAAGTGAATGAAAGTTAACTCAGGCCAGTGATTATTTATGAAGGTTTATAGTTTTTACAAGAATGGCACCAATGGCTTATGCATGTAATCCCAGCACTCTGGGAGGCTGACGCAGGTGGATTGCCTGAGTCATGGGTTCAAGACCAGCCTGAGCCAGCCTGAGACCCTGTTTCTAAAAATAGCCAGGGGTTGTGGTGGGTGCCTATAGTCCCAGCTACTCGGGAAGCTGAGGCAAGAGAATTGCTTGAGCCCAAGAGTTTGAGGTTGCTGTGAGCTATGATGCCATGGCACTCTCCTGAGGGTGACAAAGTGAGACTTAGTCTAAATAAATAAATAAATAAATTTTTTAAAAGGTGTAGCACCTGTTGCTCAATGAGTAGGACACTGGCCACATGCACCGAAGCTGGCAGGTTTGAGCCCGGCCAGGGCCTGCTAAAACAATAATGACAACTGCAACAAAAAAACAGCCAGGCATTGTGGCAGGTGCTTGTAGTCCCAGTTACTTGGGAAGCTGAGGCAAGAGAATCACTTTAGCTCAAGAATTTGAGGTTGCTATGAGCTGTGACGCCATGGGACTCTACTGAGGGTGACATAGTGAGACGCTGTCTTTTAAAAAAAAAAAATGGCACCAAGCTTAAAACAACAAAAATAACCTAGACCCCACAATTAACTGGAGTTTTTTTCCTGTCCCTGTGCTTTTAGGACAAACCATGGAACTTGTCTTTTTATGTGATCTATTTCTTAAACTAGACTAGGACTTAACAGAAGCTAAAATTTATATCTCACATGCCTGTTTGTATGTATATGTCATATACTTATTGTATATGTCACATACTTATTTACAGTAAATAGCACAGGGAACCTGGTCAATAAATATCTGAATATGTGCTAAACACATAGAGGTTTTCTTTAGGAAATACCTCTAAAATATGTACTGAGATCAATATATACCTATGCTTTCCACAATAGTAGCTGGTAGCTACTAGTCAGAATGATTCCAAATAAAACAACAATCATTATTAGCAGTAACATCCTATATTATCCAATTATAAGTGTATATATTAGAAAGCTTTTTTCAAGAGTTGATAGAGAATCATTCTCAGTTTTTCAGTAGCCCATATAAATAATCAGAAACAAAGGGCTAAGCAGTGCTGAGGTTCAACAAATTTTGATCTACTTTTCCATCTCTTGTATTAACTTTAATTCTTTCATTTCATACTTCTCATGCATAAGGTTCTTTATTCCAACAGGGCCAACTACTTTCCTTGTGTTCTTTTCCTTTATCATCTTCCCTGGTCTACACCGAGAAAAATATAAATGCCCCTTGCTTTTAAAGTAATAGTATATATTAATTTTCATCTGTGGTAGTTCACTTTTTTAAAATTAAATCATTGCTGTGTACATTAATGCAGTCATGGGGTGCAATGTGCTGGTTTTATATACAATTTGAAATGTTTTCATCAAACTGGTTAACATAGCCTTCATGGCATTTTCTTAGTTATTGTGTTAAGACATTTATATTCTACATTTATTAAGTTTCACATGTACTCTTGTAAGATGCACTGTAGGTGTGGTCCCACCAATTACCCTCCCTTCACCCATCCTCCCCCCTCCCACTCTTTTCTAAATAGTCTTGAACTCTCAGTCTTATTATTGTGCGGGTGAATGGTCAAAGACAGTTTTTGATTGAGCAATGCCTTCCTGCACTCCTTAAATCAAATCTTCTAGGTTAATGATTATGGTACAACTAGTATTTGGATGTGCCTTGGTATAAGAAATAAGTGAGAAAGAATGAAGAAAGAGACCCAAGAAATAAGGTCTTGATGGGACTTTACATGGGAAGATATTCAAGGATGGAGCTAAAACTCAACAAACTACAATGCCAAAAGGAAAGTTGGAAAGCAGTTTTACAGACTAAAGTTAGCTCAACAGTTGTGAAACCTACTCAGGGACTAAGTCATCTTTAATTTTAGAGGACCCAGATATAAAAATTCTACAGACTAAGGATACAATTTTTATAATCACATTCTTTAGAAAATTTCTTTTATTGAAGTAAATTATCACAGGTACACTTTCTTTTCTAGATTATATGACTTTGAGCAATTCATCTCTATACTCCGTTTTCCTCACAGTAAATAGGCTAATAATTTTATGATAGTTGAGTTTGTTTAAAGGTAGTGTGATAAAAGGGGAAAATGGATATAGTAGAAACTACCCTTGAAAGTGCTACACATTAAGCCTCAGTAAATATGATCTTGTATATCCTGCACTAGTACTCATTAAGCCCAATGCAGCCAGTGTTTGTTATGGCTTTAGAACAGATTAAAATTCCAGATAAAAAATAGATTCTCAATCTTCCTATCCAAAACCCTTGGGACCACCAGACATGCTTTAGAAATTCAGACTTTTCTAGTTAAGAAAAGCTATATGGAACATGGTAGCTTCTATGTAATACCCCCAGCACAGTCTATGGCAGCAGCCCACAAATATTATTAAAGTGGAACATATGAATACTCACTATAAAGATTTTGCCTTTACACTTTTGATTTTCAGGATTGGTTATGTTACAAAATTGTGGGCTAGTGGTCAGACTATGTTTTGGACCCAAACTGTTCTCAAAAAGAAATAACTCTTCTCAAAATATGCTGAGGGCCTCCGGCTGGATTCACTTAAGTCAAATGAGACAAAAAATAACAAACAAAAACTATTTACCAATCATGTCCTATCTTCCTCATTTTCTTGAAATTAAAGCTTAGTTAGCATCTACTATGTTAAAGACAGGGACAGAGCCCTCGCAAAAATGCAAACAGATAAAAGAAGCTGATTCCAGCGGCGCCCATAGCTCTGTGAGTAGGGCGCCAGCCACATGCTCCAGGGCTGGTGGGTTCAAACTCAGCCCTGGCCTGCTAAAAACAAAAAAATAGCCAGGCAGGCGCATATAGTCCTAGCTACTCAGAAGACTGAGGCAAGAGAATTGTTTAAGCTCAAGGGTTTGAGGTTGCTGTGAGCTGTAACACCACAGCATGGCACTCTACCAAGGGCAACAAAGTGAGACTCTGTCTCAAAAAAAAGAAAAAAAGCCCTGGTTTTAGGGCTTTCCAGGAACCATGTCAAGGGTGACAATCTTTTATGATAATTTTTTTTTCTTTTTCTCCTTTTTTAAATTATTATTAAATGATGGCTGTGTACATTAATGCAAACATGGGGTACAGTATAGTGTTTTCATATACAATTTGAAATATTTTCATCAAACTGGTTAACATAGACTTTGTGTCATTTACTTAGTTATTGTGTTAAAACATTTATACTCTAATTCTAGAAAAGTTCACTTGTACCCTTGTTAGACAGACCATATAGGTGATCTTTCCAGTCACCCTCCCTTTTATGGTAATTTTTGCCCCATATGCTGGCTTTTGACTCTGAAGCCCACACAAGATATAATTCTATTATACTTAGATCTCAACAAATCTTATCTATTACTGATGGCACACTGAATTCATTCTAAGATCTGACAAGTGTTACATCACTATGCAGTTATTATTTTAAGTTATGCATAACATAACAAGTAAAAAATGGAAGTATCTTACTAATAATTGAACATGTCATAAATTTATCTTGAGTCTTTTCTTCAAATTTTTCTTTAGCTTTTATGGACCACTGCACCGTCCCTTTACATGGTTCAATATAAGCCAGCTTACATTTAATTGCCTGTGTCAAACAAAATTAAGAAAATAAACTAAATTTCTAGTTACTTTAGAACTAAAGATTACTGTTAAGTCTGTACAAAACTAATCTTTGTGTTTAGATTTAATACAGATTTCAAAATAATCAAATAAATGTGTGAAGTTGTCTGTAAAAGTACTTTATAAATGCAAATAACTAGAATCAGCACAGTATTTGGCTGAACAAATTATCACACATTCATATACAGAAACAAGTGTTCATTAAAAGAATTACTGTTACTTATGACACATTAATTGTGAAAAGCAGGTTATAGGACTATTTATATTTTGATTCTATAATTGCTAAAAACATAGAATATGCATCTCGGAAGTATATATACACCAAAAATATTGAACAATGATACTGAGTGATTGTCTTTTTTGCTCAGATACACTTTTACATTTTTTCTCTATAATACCACAAATTTCTTAAAATGAAAAATATGGCTTAATAACTCAAATAATACAGGAGTAAATAAATTAGAAAATGAGGCCCCTTCTTACCCTTTTTTCAGAACCCTACTCCCCAGAGATAAACAAGGTTAAAATATTTACATAGTCTCTCAGATTCCATTTTGTATTTTACACACATATATTATACAACAGTACATACTTAAGTATAAATGAGATCTCATTCTGTGATGAGTTTTTTTTTTTTTTTTAGATAGTCTCACTATGTCACCCTTGGTAGAGTGCTGTGGTGTCATAGCTCACAGCAATCTCAAACTCTTGGGCTTAAGCGATTTTCTTGCCTCAGCCTCCCAAGTAGCTGGGACTGTAGGCGTCCACCACAATGCCTGGCTTTTTTTTTTTTTTATTGTAGTTGTCATTGTTGTTTGGCAGGCCTGGGCTGGGTTCGAACCCACCAGCTCCAGTATATGTGGCTGACACCCTAGCCGCTGAGCTACAGGTGCCGAGCCTGAGATGAGCTTTTTTAACTAATGTGATGAACATAAAACTCTCACATTATATATCTCACTCTGATATATTAAAATCTGAAGACCAATACATACTTAAGATACAAACATACATATATTGGTAATTTTTATAATTCATGCTTATTTGCCAAGAGATACACATTATTTCTTAAAAAGTAACTGTAGCAACATTTATCTATACTCCTCATATCCAAACTATTTACAGACAAAAATGGTGGTTAGCTGAACACTTCTATGATAAATGACTTCTAAAAATACATCTACATATGTGTTAATAATCTAACTCTAGAATTCATAATAAATAATTACCTTCTCTGGGATATTCAGAAAATCATCTTTTATTTTACGCATCTCTTTAACTGTTATTTTTGCACTATTACCAAAGTCCACATATTTAACTTCAACTTCTCGATGCCCAGGCAATCCTTAAAAAATTATGAAAACAGAAATAACAAACTTGAAAAAAGCAAGAGAATTATCCAGTAAAATTTATACCGAATTACAGACAATTATAGTAGAAAACTTTTAGGCTCAAATATAAACTGGATGCTTTTTATTAGGTAAAAATATTCTTCTTCTTATATATTAGATGACTCCAAAAAAAAAAAATCACCCACAATGTGGACTTGGTAGAATGAGAAACTAACCATTTCAAAATATTCAAAGGACAGACAAAATCAGATAATAAAATCTAACATATGATAGGTAGTGTAAGTTAAAAGTTAAGAATTAGGATCTGAGTCAGACTGTGTTAGAACTCCAGCTTGGTCACTAAAATGCTTTATGACCTGAAGTGAGCTAATTAATATCTCTGAGCAAGTTACTTTTCCTAAGCCTCATTACTTCATCCAAGAAATGAGTATACCAATAGAGCCTAATCTCAGAAGATGTTTTTGGAATTTACCTATTTAAAAAGCACAAGGCGGCTCGGTGCCTGTGGCTCAAGTGGCTAAGGCACCAGCCACATACACCTAAGGTGGTGGGTTCGAATCCAGCCTGGGCCCGCCAAACAACAATGATGGCTGCAACCAAAAAATAGCCAGGCGTTGTGGCGGGCGTCTGTGATCCCAGCTACTTGGGAGGCTGAGGCAGGGGAGTCACTTGAGCCTGGGAGTTGGAGGTTGCTGTGAGCTTGATGCCATGGCACTCTACCCAGAGGGATAGCCTGAGGCTCTGTCTCAAAAAAAAAGCACAAGGCACTAGGTAAAACTTAATAAATGTTTACTGCTAGTCAACCTAGGTGATTAAGGCAAAAGATTCAATAATCAAAGTAAAGATTAATTCATATAGCAACATTTAACTGAAATAATATTTTGGGGATACTGCAAAAAAACAAGTAGACACAGACCTCTATTTCAGTCTAAGTCTCTATACTTTAAAGAAATCTCTGGAAGGTTCACATGAAGTTTGAATAGAGGTGTATCATATACATATTTTTAGAAAATACTCAAAATACATGGGTGACTTTAGTTTTTCCCCCTGCACCTATGTACGCTGCTATTAAATTTGTGGTTATCATTTTTGAATTTAAAGACTAATACAGTGTATATAATTTCAGTGAAAATATTTCCATATTTTCAATATGGAAAAACTTCTCTGCCCCTTGGCAGAAGTAGAAGGTGGCACAGCACTGGTACTCAAGATGACACTTCAAACAACTTAGGCCCTATGGTGGTATATATCTGCAACAGCTGAGAAGACATAGGTTAGAATAGGTTTAAGGCCAGAAGACTGGGGAATCCCCCCACTTCCACTGGAATCTCCCTGCTAGAAGGATATTTTCAACTTTATTAATCATTAGATTCTTATACTTCCTTAAGTCTCTGAATGGAGATGCCATTTTAAACAAAGACTGATATGAGATGGATTATAAAGAATGTTATTGTTTTACCCAAACTGTCAATCACATATGAAATCAGAGTCAGAATACATGGAAGGTACTGAATTTATTCTGAGGAAACCATTCATATTCTGTATAAATAAAGCCATAAAATATACTTTAATTGTATTTTAGTTCATTATTGTATCCATTTTCATTTGATATATAATGTGAGAGTTTTATGTTCATCACCTTTCCATTTATTCTGAGGAAACCATTAGAAGATGGCTCCACAAAAAAAGGAACAAACTGAAGAGGTAACATGAAATCCACAAAACAAGATGTCCATTACTGGAGAACAATGAAGTATACTTTGACCAAATGAAATAAATTCTAGAATAAATGTGCAGTAAGCCTAGAGGCTTACTTACCCCCTAAAGGGTAAGCAGCACAACTGTAGAAGACAGGAGGATGTTTTCATGGTTAAAAATAAAATCAAACTAAAATTATCTGAAATGGGCGGTGCCTGTGGCTCAGTGGGTAGGGCACCCGTCCCATATACTGAGGGGAGTGTGTTTGCACCTGGCCCCGGCCAAAGTGCAACAACAATAACCACAAAAATAGCCGGGCATTGTGGCAGGTGCCTGTAGTCCCAGCTACTTGGGAGGCTAAGGCAAGAGAATCGCTTGGAGGTTGCTGTGAGCTGTGATGCCATGGCACTCTACCCGGGGCGATAAAATGAGACTCTGTCTCTTAAGAAAAAAAAAAAATAAAAATAAAAATAAAAAATAAAATAATCTGAAAAGTCTAATCACATGGAGAATTGTTTTGAACTATTAAAAAACAGCCATAAATTAAAATAAAATAAAGCAAATGAAATGGATACAATAATGAACTAAAAATACAATTCAAGTATATTTTATGGCTTTATTTATACAGAATATGAATTTAAAAACTGCAATGTAACTATAGTGCAAAGAGTAAAGGGAAGACAAAAGAACCAGTTTTCTGTCTGCTAACTGACAGAAAAAGAGGTAAATAGATAATATCAAAGATTGAAGCATCAACTGAAGTATTATGTATTATTAGGCAAAATAACACAAGTAAATTCCAAAAGAAATGGGTAAAAGAATAAAAAGTTATTGCCTTCAAGGAGAGGAATGAAGTGTGTTAAGTCTTTTAGTGTTTAAGTCTTTTAGTCTTTTAGTAAAAGACTTATTTAACTTTTAAATAAGGCAAACAGAAAACAAACAAAAAAGCTACAGTTCACCAAACTATCATTTTTGAGGTGGAGTTCAACAAGGCCATGCAAGGTATAGGAAGACAGGCCAATTGAATCATACAAGCATTTCTATTAGCACCCTAAAAGTCACCATGGAAACTGTACCTTTCCCAAATATTACTACTCAAAGACTTCAGGGAGCCTTATTTTGTATCAACTGGATAATGTTCTTAATAATCTTTAACTGCAAAATCCTAATCTCATGAAAAATGTCAATTTGCTCCAAAGATATCTACCCAAACACACAGTGGTATGTTCATATTGTCATTGTTAAGGTTTGAATGTTTTTATACCCTTCAAAATTCATGTTGAAACTTAACTCCCCAATGCAAAGTATTTGTAAAATAAGATTAAGTCAAAGGGCTCTGCCCTCATTAATGGGATTATGTGCCCTTTTAAAGGGGATTTTTTTTTTTTTGGACCTTCCACCATGTGAGAACACAGTGTTTGTACCCCTTTGAGAATTCAGCATCAAGCACCCTTTTGGAAACAGACATTAAAACTTCCACAAACTGGTGCTTTTATCTTGGGCTTCTCAGCCTCCAGAACTGTGAGAAATAAATTTCTGTAGTTTATATATTACCCGGTCTGTGGTATTTTGTTACAGAAAAACAAACAAAGACACTCATAAGAATCACATCTGAGGCGTGGTGCCTGTGGCTCAAGAATCACATCTGTGGCGGGTGCCTGTGGTCCCAGCTACTTGGGAGGCTGAGGCAGGAGAGTCACTTGAGCCCAGGAGTTGGAGGTTGCTGTGAGCAGTGAAGCCACAGCACTCTACCCAGGGGCTCAGCTTGAGGCTCTTGTCTCAAAAAAAAAAAAAAAAGAATCACATCTGAAAATTCTTCAGCTAGTTCAAGTCACTAACCACTAACAGAATTAAAATCAATGATGATAAAAGAAGAAAAGAAAACTTAGGTTGAAAGAATAGTTTTGACACAAGATTCAGAACTGGTTGTATGTTAGGAGTAATTTGTAAGGATCTTAAATTACCTTAATAATGGAAAAAACATCTTAAATAGTGTCAAATTAAAAAAAATTACCCAGGTGGTGCTTGTGGCTCAGAGGAGTAGGGCACTAGCCCCGTATACCAGAGGTGGCAGGTTCAAACCCAGCCCTGGACAAAAACTGCAAAAAATAAAAATAAAAATAAAAAAATAAAAAAAAAATAAAAAAATTACCCTTTAATAAAAATAGTGTATCTACAAACTAGAAACCATGTAAAGGGAACACAACAGAATGTTAAACTGACTGTGTTATATCTAATTCCTGAAACCAAAGATTTAGTTTATAGTTGTTCTCTTTTAGCCAAAGATAGGGAAATAATAGCGAACTTTCCTATTTTTGTTGCTAGTATTTCCATTTTCATAGATTTTCTGTCTTCATTTCCACTTTTAATTTTTCCCATTATTTCCTAAGTTGAATTCAATTCTTTGATTTATGAGGATACAGAAAAAAGACAGTGACAAAGCTAGTAGTTTTAGTAAATAATTCCCAGGAAAGAATAATCTATTAAAGTTAGAAGGGAAGCTGAGCAGACACAAAAGACTTTAACTTGTATCTTGATGAACAAAATAGCATGGGACAGGCTTGGCGCCTGTGGCTCAAGCGGCTAAGGCACCAGCCACATATACCTAAGGTGGCGGGTTAGAATCCCCAGCCCGGGCCCGCCAAACAACAATGATGGCTGCAACCAAAAAATGGCCGGGCGTTGTGGCGGGTGCCTGTAGTCCCAGCTACTTGGGAGGCTGAGGCAGGAGACTCGCTTGAGCCCAGGAGTTGGAGGTTGCTGTGAGCTGTGATGCCATGGCACTTTACCCAGGGGGATGGCTTGAGGCTCTGTCTCAAAAAAAAAAAAAAATAGCATGGGACAGACATAAACAGTCAATATGAAAGTAGAGATTACTAGTTTTTAAATAATTAACTTTTGCTCCTTTATACTATCTACTAGTTTTCTAGCCAGATTCCCAAGAGTTAAGCCCCAGCCAGTCAAACAGAATCTCAGGAACCAGAGATTCCTACCTTTAAATATCATCATTACCTTTCTAAAAACAAGATGATGTACCAAATGGTAAGATCAAATAATATCACTTTCAAGATTTAATCTGTATCAACTCAAAAAAGTACTAGCTTTGAAGTATAACATTTTCCTATAGAAACAACATGCACTTTCCTACCCGTGACTTTTGCTCGGTACCAAACACCATCTTCAAATTTAGCTACACAGGCTTGATCTTGAACTGGACAGAGGATTTCCAGATTTTCTCCATCTTCACTTTTATAAAATTCCTCAATTGTCTTTAATAATAACAAAAAATCCAGGCCATCTATCTAAGAAATAAAAGAATAAAGCACTATAGTTTCATAGAAACTTAAAATTTAATTGTTGAGTGAATTATAAGCACATATGAATTCTCTTTGTTTTTTTGAGACAGAGTCTCACTATGTCACTCCAGTAGAGTACCATAGTATCACGGCTCACAGCAACCTCAAACTCTCGGGCTTAAGCTATTCTCTTGCCTCAGCTTCAAGCAGCTGGGATTACAGGTGCCTGCCACAACACCCAGCTATATTTTTGTTGTAGCTGTCGTTGTTTGGCAGGCCTGGGCTGGGTTTGAACCCACCAGCCCTGGTGTATGTACCCTGGTGCCCTAACCACTGAGTGAGCTACAGGCACCAAGCTAAAAGTATGAAATTTTAAAACCTGAATTTGACCTAAATCAAATTTGTTATATAATTTATTTTACAAATATTTTATTGCAGCAGTATTGAAAATTAGTATATACAGACATAAAAATAAAATCACCTTCTGTCAGATAACTTAGTGAATATTCGTCAAGATCTTTTTCTTTTATTAAGTCATAAATACATAGATCATAAATACATTTATGCATATGAGGGGTACAATGTATTGACTTTTTTATGCAATTTGGAGTGCTTACATCAAACTAATTAATATAGCTTTCACCTCACTTACTTGATTATTGTGTTAAGACATTTATGTTCAATAATTGATAGATTTGACTTGTACCCTTACAATATGCTCCGTAAGTGTGGTCCCACCATTTACCCTCCCTCTATCAAACCTCCCCCCTCCCCTCCCTTCCCCCTCTATTTCTCTCCTTCATCCTGGGCTATAGTTGTGATCTATCTTTCATAAGAAAGTGTGAGTAAATATAAATTGGTTTCATAAAAGTAATTAGTACATTGGATACTTTTTCTTCCATTCTTGAGATACTTTACTAAGGACAATATGTTCCAGCTCCATCCATGTAAACATAAAAGAAGTTCAAGATCTTTTTCTATACACATAAACACACTTCCCTGTGTGTTTATGTTTTGTACACTTGTGTTTATGTGTGTACACTTGTTTTTACCAAAACTAGACCATACCACACATACAAATTTGATAACCTGCATTCTCCTGTTATTTTTCACCTTTTCTATTTCAGTAAGTGTTCCTACAGGTACTTTTTGACCACATTTGGTTTTCCCTAATTGATCCAAATCAATATCCAACCCAAGATATACCCTGCTTCTGGCTTTTATCTCCATAACTTTCATAATCTAGTGTAATCCTCTACTTTTAATGACCATGTCTTTTTGAACAGAGCCAGCTATTTTTCTGAAGAATGCCCCACATGCTATACATCTCTGTGGTTATACCCTTAAGCTGTCATTTAGCTTATTCCTCCACTGAGTAGGAGCTATCTGTTAAAATTCCCAAAAGATGAAAGTTATACATAATGGTTTGCTGGATCCAAGCCAAACTTTTTTGGCTAGACTGTATTGCAGGTGATTTTGTATATACTCAGGTTGCAACACATCAAGATGTATAAGACATAATGCTTATTGTCATTAATACTAAGATTTATCTTCAATTGCAATGATAGTTCTCACCCCTCTCACTATGCAGTTGTTTCTACCTTTGTGGCCACTAAGTAATTTGTGTGGTGTTACTTTGGTATTACATTAGTGTCCAATTTCTTAACCATTCAGCTAATAGTTTTTATGGTAATTCATATAAAATAAACAATTGATAGTTCAAAAGGTTTTGTGAGATCATTGTGAAATCTTAACAAACCAGAGCTTTCTCTTACTAAATAGGGCTATTTGGTATAACCCCCAAATACAGTTTCTGAAGTTTCTTTTTTTTTTTTGAGACAGAGCCTCAAGCTATCCCCCTGGGTAGAGTGCCATGGCATGACAGCTCACAGCAACCTCCAAACTCCTGGGCTCAAGCGAGTCTCCTGCCTCAGCCTCCCAAGTAGCTGGGACCACAGGCGCCTGCCACACCCCCTGGCTATTTTTTGGTTGCAACTGTCATTCTTGTTTTGGCAGGCCCGGGCTAGATTTGAACCTGCCACCTTGGGTGTATGTGGCTGGAACCTTAGCCACTTGAGCCACAGGCACCAAGCCTGAAGTTTCTATAGTACCAAAAAAAAAAAATCAAGGAATACAATTTGATTATTTCTCCAAATACCAATTCTTTAAGGTTAAGAAAAATCTTGAAATACATCTCAAATGGGAAAAAATGTGGTTTTACTTAAATGTAATAAAGTGAAAATTTTCTGAATTCCTATCTTTTCTTGCTATTTCATTTAAATTGTGTTAAAACTACTTTACATTTAACTTTCTAAACTTTTATTTCTAAGTAGATATTTTGCAAACTCTTCCATTAACAGGTAATTCACTTTTACTTGGTGAACTTTTAGTAATTCATCAAGGAAGTAAAAAATAAAAAATAGTAAACTAGGAAGATCCTGGCTTTTATTTTAACACAGAAACAAAAAAAAAATGACAATGTCTGAACCAACTTTATTGGACCTCTAGAAAACAATCACAAATTTATAGTAACTAAGCAAGCCCAATCAAGAAGAAGTCATATTCTAAGTGGTAGGAAAGTTCTGTGGGATTTTTACTTGACTTTGTGCCACCTCCTTTCTCAGAATGACAACAACCTTGGTCTTAATCACTGGCAGTAAGTTCTCAGTTCCCTTCTGTGAACCAGAGGGAATAGACCAGACCTTATTGTACAAATTACTATGTATACATGTGTTCTAACCTTCCAACAAATTCCCACAAGACTGATGCAAGGGGCTAGTTTTTGTTTCATATAACTTGGTAGAAAGAATGGTAGGTACTAATTGTAAAAGCTACAAATGGGACTACAAACTTAGGTGCCTGGGACAAGGGTTTATTGGTGAAAACATATGATAGACCTGCGGTACCTAACCCCCGAGGAACCAGGCTGCACGAGATTACCACCTGAGCTCCACCTCTTGCCCCATCCATTACCACCCCCATCCATGGAAAGATTATCTTTCATGAAACCAATCCTGGTGCTAAAAAGGTTGGGGATTGTTGCAATAGATCATCTAAGACTGAGAAAAGAACCTAGGGTAAGATGCTTTATGATGTCCTTTAGGACATTCAAAGGTAGCCATTCATATGGCAGAATTTAGAAAGCTACATGTCCACCTGGAGAAAAATGCTCACGAAAGGCCCTTCAAAGACCATGAACTTTGATCTTGGGCTGACTCCTAGCCTCAGAAGAAGCCTAACAACTTTGTGAATATGTGCCACTAATCTGCAAAGCCTGGGAAAGGTGGTGCCTACCTCTCTCTCGGTGCCTTTTGTTTGTTTCAGCCTAGCATGCAAGGAACTCATTATGAAACAGCTGAGCACAGCTAAAGAAACACGGAGACTTCAGTAACCACACATGATAAGGAACAGTCTTTGAAAAAATAGTTTGGAAAGGTCTCAAAACAAATGAACTGCTTCAGCCTTCAGCAATAATAACAACAACAACAAAAAAGCCAAACAAATAAAAAAGCCCCCACAAATACAGCAAACCTTGAGGAGGGAAAGAATCTGATTTCCAGAATTGTAATAGTCAAATGCTCAATTTTCAACAACAACAAAAAAAATGACAAAGCATACAAAAAACCCCAGAAAAACATGGCTCATTCAAAAAACAAAATAGGCTCAGCGTCCATAGCACAGCTGTTACAGCATCAGCCACATACACCAAGGGTGGTGGGTTCACACCCTGCTTGGGCCAACTAAACAAGTGCAACAAAAAAATAACTGGGCGATGTAGCGCACACCTGTAGTCCCAGCTACTTGGTAGGTTTAGGCAAGAGAAACACTTAAGACCAAGAGCTTGAGGTTGCTGTGAACTGTGATGCCATAGCACTCTACCAAGGGTGACATAGTAAGACTCTGTCTCAAAACAACAACAACAACAACAAACAAAATAAATAGCAACTGCTCCTTAAGGAAGCCCAGACAGTAGACTTAACTAGAAAAAGACATTATAACAGCTTCCTTAATTCTGGACAAACCTATGGGAGATGATCACTACTAAACCTGGTTTACAAGAAAAGCTAGGAGTTCTTCAGGTTGCAATAAGAGGAAACTATCATGAAAACACATGAAGGTTAAAACTTACCATAAAGATATGATAGCAAATGTTAAGAAAGTGGTTGATCCATTTTCTAAGAAAGATTGGTATGACATGAAGGTATGTGCTTTCTTCAATATAAGAAATATTGGGAAAACACTAGTCATCAGGACTCAAGGACCAACATTGCATCTGATGGCCTCAAAGATCATGTGTTTGAAGTGAGTCTTGCAGATCTGCAGAATGATTAAGTTTCATTTAGAAAATTCAAGCTGATTACTGAAGATGTTCACGGCAAAAACCGCCTAACTTCCATGGCATGGACCTTACCTGTGACAAAATGTGTTCTATGGTTACAAAAAAACTGTTCTATGGCAGACTATGATTAAAGCTCATGTTGATGTTAAGACTACGGATGGTTATTTGCTTCAACTGTTCTGTGTTGATTTTAGTAAAAAATGTAACAATCAAATATGGAAGACCTCTATGCCCAGCACCAACAGGTTCACCAAATCCAGAAGAAAATGATATAAATCAAGACCAGAGAGGTGGCTCCGCGCCTGTGGCTCAAGCAGCTAAGGCGCCAGCCACATACACCTAAGGTGG